CTTGTTCTCTTAGGGACACAGCCAGACTACATTTCCCAGGCTCCTTTGTGGTAGGCGGAGTCAGGTGACTAAGCACCAACCCGCCTGGGGGCACAGCTGGACTACATTTCCCAGGCTCCTTTGGGGTAGGCGGAGTCAGGGGACTAGGTTCCATCCTATGGGGAGGCACAGCAGGACTACATTTCCCAGGCTCCTCTGGGGTAGGCGGAGTCAGGGGACTAAGATCCATCCTGCCTGGGGACACAGCTGGACTACATTTCCCAGGCTCCTTTGGGGTAGGCGGGGTCAGGGAACTAAGATCCATTCTGCCTGGGGGGGGGTAGAGAGAGACACACAGATGGACTACATTTCCCAGGCTCCTTTGGGGTAGGTGGAGTCAGGGGACAAGTTCCATGGGGGAGGGGCACAGCAGGACTACATTTCCCAGGCTCCTTTGGGGTAGGCGGGGTCAGGGAACTAAGATCCATTCTGCCTGGGGGGGGGGGTAGAGAGAGACACACAGATGGACTACATTTCCCAGGCTCCTTTGGGGTAGGTGGAGTCAGGGGACTAAGTTCCATCCTATGGAGGAGGCACAGCAGGACTACATTTCCCAGGCTCCTCTGGGGTAGGCGGAGTCAGGGGACTAAGGTCCCTCCTGCGGCAGGGGCGGGGGCACAGCCGGACTACATTTCCCAGACCCTTTGTGGTAGGCGGGCTCAGGGCACTAAGAGCCAGCCCATGGGAGGCGGCGCGGTGGACGTTTGATCCTCCTCTCTCCGCGTCCTCCGGCGGAATGAGAGTTCTGGAGGTCCTGGCAGAGGGCAGAGCCATGGGGTAGAAGGAGCCTGGGCCCCTGAGTGACAGAGTGGAGCCGAGCCCCGCGCTGATCCATGCTGGTCTATGACACAGCAAGAAAGCGACCCTCCCCTGGGGTTTGGGAGCTCGGTGTCCCAGCAATGAGCCAGTCCAGGTGATGGGGGCTGCAGACACATGTGGGACTAGGTCTAGTGGCCTGGCAGTGGACGCCAGGGACAGCAGATGGCCACAGGGGCCGAGTGGGAAACAATGTCTGGTCAGTGGGAGGCCACACCTCAGAGGCAATTCCCGAGGCAGGGGCTGGGGGCCTGGACCCCACCGGTCCCTCCCTGAACTGACCTCGTCCAAGGCTCTGTCAAGTGTCCTACTGGGGACTCCGGATCAAAGAACATTCCATGATAGAAAAATAAAAAGCCTCCCTCGGCTGGGCGTGGTGGCTCATGCCTGTCAGCCCAGCACTTTGGGAGACCGAGGCGAGAGGACCGCCTGAACCCAGGGGTTCGAGACCTGCCGGGGCAACTTGGCAAGACCTCGTCTCTACAATAAATCAAAAAACCAGGCATGGTGGTGCGTGGCTCTAGTTCGGCTACTTGGAAGGCTAAGGCGGGAGGATCGCCGGAGCCCAGCAGGTCGAGGCTGTGGTGGCCGGGGGCGTGCCGCTGCGCTCCAGCCTGGGCGACAGAGTGAGACTCCGACTCAAAAAGAAAATCAGAAAAAGAAAAGACCTTGTGGGTTTTTTTTGCTTCCTGACGCTGTGGAATTCATGGATGCCGTATTCATCTGTATTAAATCAACAATCTAGAAGCCACCTACTTCCAAACCCAGCCAGGCCTTGTTTGTTGACTTGGCCAAGCCGTTCTTGTCAGGAATTCCTCTCTGGAATCGTTTTGGTTGTTTAGGACATGTGTTCTCGATCTGTTTTCCCGTGGCAGCCCACAGTGGCCTCGGGCGGAGGGCGGGTGGGGCTGATGGCTCCCGTCACGCAGCTGGGGGCGTGGGGAGGCCAGGGACGGGACTGTCGGCCTTTGGGTGTCCGGGAGGCAGGGGGAGAGGCCTCCATCTCTTCACTCTTGGAGCCAAGTCCTGTCCCCGTCAGTGAGTGGGGGGGACCCCTGTCCCCCCACCCCCGTATCAGGCTCCCGTCTGGGACCCCAAGGCTGGAACCCGGGGCGGCACCGGGAGTTCGTGGCCCAGCAAGAAAACTCATTTCAGACACGGCATGGACCATGCCCTGGAACTTTATGGATATTCTCAAGGAAATTTCCGGCTCGCTCATGTGGCCAGAGAGTTGGCCACACCTGGCTGGATCCAGGGGTGCTGGGCCCTAAAATTTATACAGGATTGGGGCCCTTTTTTAAGGGAAAAAAACCGGAATAAAATTACAAATACAAAATGTGCATGAAAACAAATACTTAGAACGAGAAAACACATTAAACGGATTATTTTCAAGCATGGCGACAGATAACACAAAGTTCGTAAAATACCAAAAGCCCCGTAATACTTTTATTAATTAGCTGTTTAACAAACCTGTGTAATATTTCTCCTGCATTTCCAGCTGCGTGCTAGTGCGACTTGCTTTTATTTTAAAAGATTGCAAGCTAGAGGCGTGAAGCATGCAACCTCACACGTACACACTTTCGAGGTTTCCACTCATGCTCCAGGGTTATGCCACGACACGGGACGTCTGACCCTCGTATTTCCCATCATGAAAAGGGGCACGGTGGCTCTCGCCAGTAATCCCAGCACTTTGGGCAGCTGAGGCAGGAGGATCATTTGAGCCCAGGAGTTCGAGACCAACCCGGGGAACATAGGGAGACCCTGACGCTACAAAATATTTAAAAATTAACCAGGCGGGGTGGTGCGTGCCTATAGTCCCAGTTACTTGGGAGGCTGAGATGGGAGGATCGCCTGAGCCCAGGAGGTCGAGGCTGCAGTGGGCTGAGATCGCACCACTGCACTCCAGCCTGGGCAACAGAGTGAGACCCCAACTCCCCGCCCCTAAAAAAGATGCATGTTTTTCTTCTTTTCTGCGTATCTGGCCATTGCCCTCGCTGGCCCGTAGCCTCCGTCTTGTGAAAGGAGACTGGGAGTTGCTTCAGAAGGGCAGAGCACAGGATCGCGCAGGCAGGTGCAGGCTCGAAGACCAGGTTGCGGTCTGGAGGGGGCATCTCTCCGCTTCCTGTCCTCCCCTCCCCAAGCCCAGGGCTGGCCCTGCCCAACCTCCATCATTCCCGCCTTCCGCCCGGCTCCTCTTGGCGGTTGGAGCTGGGTGGCGGGAGAGGTGTAGCACGTCGGGTGTGAAGACAGCGACCAGGCCTCCTCGCAGCCCCGTGGGAAGACAAGATGGAGGGAAGGGGGGGGGAAGGACGGACGGGTGCCCACACTTTCTCTCTTGGGGCTTTTTAAAAATTGAGTTGAGTCTCACTCCGTCGCCCAGGCTGGAGTGCAGTGGCACGCTCCCGGCCACCCCAGCCTCGCCCTGCTGGGGTCTGGCGATCCGTCCGCCTCCGCCTTCCAAGTAGCCGGAACTACAGGCCTGTGCCACCACACCCGGGTAATTTCTTGATTTTTTTTTTTTGAGTTGGAGTCTCCCTCTGTCGCCCAGACTGGAGGGCAGTGTCCGCTCCCGGCCACCGCAGCCTCGACCCGCTGGGCTCCGGCGATCCTTCCGCCTCAACCTTCCGAGTAGCGGGAACTACAGGCGCGCGCTACCACGCCCGGATGATTTTTTGATTTATTGTAGAGATGAGGTCTTGCCAAGTTGCCCAGGCGGGTCTGGAACCCACGGGCTCAGGCAATCCACTCACCTCGGCCTCCCAAAGCGCAGGATTACAGGCTGAGCCACTGAGCCCGGCTATTTCTTGATTTTTATTGTAGAGACGAGGTCTTGCCAAGTTGCCCGGGCTGGTCTCGAACCCGCGGGCTCAGGCAATTCTCTCGTCTCGGCCTCCCAAAGCGCTGGGATGACAGGCTGAACCACTGAGCTTGTCTCTTTGGGTTTTTGGGTGCGGTGACGGGGGCCCTGGGAGGGGCGGTCTGTCAGGTAGGAGACTCGGGCTCTGCTAGTCATGTGGGTCTCTTGGGGGAGCCGCCTTCGAGGCCACCCCCTGGCCCTGTGGGGTCACCGTCCCATCATCATCCACTGGAGTGACCGCCAGTGAAGCCGGTGGAGGGGGCAAGGGGGTATCAGGGCAAGGTGACCCCAAACCGAAGGCTAACGGTCAAGTGTTAGCCTGGGGTCAGAGTCTCAAGGCCCACAGCCAGCGAGATCTGGGTCGGCAGCAGTGATACTTTGGTGACAGGCCTCGGGGCTGGGTGCGCCAGGGGCGCCACCCTGATGGGCACCCAGCCCAAGGAGCCACGTGGGGCCACAAGGTCAGACGAGCCACACTCCTCGTCCTGGGCTAAGACGGGCGGGAGGGCAGCTGGGAGAAGGGACATCCTCCCTTCACCCACCTGCAGAGACCGTTCGGACGACCACCTTCCTCTGGAGGGGCCGAGGGCGCATGTCTGCCCTCTCACCAGATGCGACCTTCTGTAAGCAAAGAAATTGCCTCTTGACTCCTGGCAGAGTCACACTGTGACATTCGGGACACGTGGTGTGGAGAGCTTTCACATGTGAGAAAGTGGCTGGCCGGGCATGGTGGTTCACGCCTGTCAGCCCAACAATTTGGGAGGCTGAGGTGGAACGATCGCTTGAGCCCAGGAGTTCGAGACCTGTCTGGGCAACATAGTGAGACCTCGTCTCTACAAAGAAATAAAATAATGAGCCGGGTGTGGTGGTGCACGCCTATAGTTCCAGCTCCTCGGGAGGCTGAGGCGGAGGATCACTTGAGCCCAGGAGTTCAAGACCAGCCTGGGCAACATAGCAAGACCTCGTCTCTACAAAAAAATTAACAAGTGAGCCAGGCTGGATGGCGCACGCCTGTAGTTCCAGCTACTTGAGAGGCTGAGGCGTGAGGATTGCCTGAGCCCAGCAGGTTGTGGCTGCAGTAGCTGTGAGCATGCCACTGCACTCCAGCTTGGGCGACAGGGTGAGACCTTACCCCCACAAAAGGCGGAAAAAGACCCCCAAAAGGCAAGCTGCAAAGTCCCTGGGGCCCCCACCGCAGGCCACCCAGGTGAGGGCCAGGCACAGGGACCCGGGATGCAGCTCTGGGCGGTCCGGGAATCTCCAGGGCGGGGCTGCCCCAGTGGCCATCTCAGGCCCCCGCCTTGTCGCTGTCCGTGGGGGGCGTCTCCCCTCCCCCCAGCTCGGGTTCCTCCTGCAGCGCCTGGAGGAGCACGACCTTCAGGGACCCCCGCAGCCGGAGGCTTCTCCGGGCGCCCACCAGGAAGTAGATGGCAGGGTTGGCACTGCTGCTCACGGACGAGGAGAGGCGCGACACGCAGGCGTACACCAGCAGCACGTCGGGCGGCAGGCCCACCCAGAACAGGACGAACCAGTAGAGGCCCAGGGGCAGCGAGCAGACCAGGAACACGAGGACGGAGGCCAGGACGATCACGTACAGGTGCGTGGACCGCCGTTGCCACTGCCGCGCGCTTCTGCGCACCTGCACAAAGAGGGTCACGCTGGACACGGTCATCACGGGGGTGAAGACCCCCATGATCAGGGCGCTCAGGGTCATGTCCACCATGAAGCACCGCCTGGGGTCGGCGCGCCACAGCCTGCCGCAGAAAAGCGTGGTGAATGTGTTCAGAAGGAGAGCCAGCGCCCAGAGTAGGGCGCACACCAGGGCCGGCAGGCTCCGGTGCTGGTGGCCTTTGACCCAGAGGGGGAAGAGGACCGACAGGCAGCGCTGGGCGCTGATGGCCATCAGCAGGCTCAGGCCCGCCGTGTAGGCGAAGAACTTGACCCTCTCGATCGCCTCGTGGGCCAGGGCGCGGGCGCCGGCCAGGGGCCGGGTTTCCAGACTCAGCATGGAGGCCATGCAGAGGAGGAAGAGGAGGTCGGCCCCCGCCAGGTTGAGGACGTAGGTGCAGAAGGGCGTCCTCTGAAGGCGGAAGCCCAGCAGCCAGACCACCAGGCCGTTGCCCGCCATTCCGCACACGCAGGTGAACATGGTCAGGGCGCTGACCGCCAGGTAGGCTGCGTGCAGCGTCGCCTCCCGGGGGGTGTTGAGGGCCGACAGTGGGGTCGAGGAGCCGTTCGGGGTCTGGTTCATCCTACGGGAGGAAGATGAGGCCGTGTGAAGGTCTGTGTTGCTCAGACCCCGGGGGACTTCTGAGAACCTCCCCCCGGAACGACCCGTTTCGGGGGCCTCACTGCGGGTTCATTCTGCAATAGACCATGGCCACAGGGTCTCCCATGACCACCATGGCAGATACGATGTTGTGTTGTTGTTGTTTTGACTCAGGGACTCCCTCTGTCGCCCAGGCTGGAGTGCCGTGGCACCGTCATGGCTCGCCGCTGCCTCGACTTCCTGGGCTCAGGCGATCCTTCTACCTCAGCCTCCTGAGTAGCTGGGACCACAGGCACACACCCCCACGCTTGGCGAGTGTTTTGATTTTTTCGTAGAGACGAGGTCTCGCTATGCTGCCCAGGCTGGTCTCGAACTCCTGGGCTCAAGCCATCCTCCCGCCTCGGCCTCTCAGAGTGCTGGGGTGACAGGTGGGAGCCACTATGCCCAGCCAATCATGCCTTGGTAATTTTTTTTTTTTTTTGAGTTGGAGTCTCACTCTTGTCGCCCAGACTGGAGTGCACTGGCACGCTCACGGCCACCGTAGCCTCGACCTGCTGGGATCCAGCAATCCTTCTGCCTCAGCCTTCCAAGTGGCTGGAACTTGCAGGCGCACACCACCATGCCTGGCTAGTTTTTGTGATTTATTGTAGAGATGAGGTCTCACCAAGTTGCCTGGGTTGGTCTCGAACCCCTGGGCTCAGGCAATCCTCCTACCTTGGCCTCCCAAAGTGCTGGGATGACAGGCTGAGCCACCGTGCCCGGCTGGCCCATGATATTTTAATGGACACAAATGTTGTTATGATTTTGAATGTGTGCTAGTTTATTTTTTTTTGTCTCGCTCAACAAGATGCTTGTAGGATATATCCAGGTGGCTGTATGGAAAAGTAGCTTGTGGTGACTTAAAATGTCATAATAGCACATTTTTCTGCTTTTTTCGTCCATTCCTTCATGGTGGATTCTCGACTTGCTTCAAAATTCCCATGGTCCTAAAACTGTGTTGAATATCCTTAATGCATGTACCCACCAGACTCGACTCAGGATTTTTCTTGGATACTTGGGGGGACGCCCCCAAAACCCTGAATTTATTTATAAAAAATTGTGTCTTGCCGGGCTCAGTGGCTCAGCCTGTCATCCTCGCACTTTGGGGGCCGAGGTGAGTGGATTGCCTGAGCCTGCGGGTTCGAGACCCACCCAGCCAACTTGGCGAGACCTCGTCTTTACAATAAATAAAAAATCAGCCGGGAGTGGTAGCCTGCGCCTGTAGTTCCAGCTACTTGGAAGGCTGAGGCAGGAGGATCGCCAGAGCCCAGCAGGTCGAGGCTGCGGTGGCCAGGAGCAGCCACTGCACTCCAGTCTGGGCGACCGAGTGAGACTCCAACTCAAAAAAATATATACTCTCTGTTGGATGCAAAACACCTATCAAGACACTTTTTTCACTGTTCAGAACAGTCTTTGAACTTGTCGATTTAATGTCTTTTAATGCTTTTGCCGTTTTTTGTTTCACCTCTTCCACATTGGCCAAATGCTTCCCTTTGAGGACCGTTTCTCATCCAGGGAAACAGAAGAAAATTCACTTGGGGCAAAATTGCCTGAAGAGGGAAGGTGGGGCATGGAGTCAGGCTGCTTTGGGTCAAAAATGGCTGAACACTCAGCGCAGTGTGGGCAGGTGCGTGCATCAGTCCCCATCATGAAATGGGCAAACGCATTGTAAGAATCTCCAAAATAAAAATTCACTGAAGCCGAACGCAGCCTCTCAGAACAACGCTAGCTGGTTCACAGATGCCGATGGGTTCCTAGAACGCTCATCTAGTGGGCGAAGCCTGTCCTACAAGGGCCCGCCCTCCAAAAGATAATTCTGGTTTTTTTGGGGAGGCGTATCTCTCAGATACTCTGGGAATGGGGTTGCTGGGTCATAAGACAGATGCATGTTTAGTTTCACCAAATATTGCCTGGCCCCTTTCTTGGGTGATTGCCTCTTGTTTCACTTCTACCAGTAGAATAGGAAGGTTCTCGTTTGCCCATTCCCTCACCAACACTTGGTGTTATGTGCTTTTCTCATTTTTGCCAGTTGAATCATTGCAAAGTGATATCTTGATGTTCTAGCATGCGTTTCTTTGATTTATGGTAAGCTTGAACATCAATTTGCATATTTGCTAATTTCTCCTTCTTTGAATTGCCTGTTCATATCTGTTGCCCATTTTAAAACTGGGTCTCCTTTCTATTCCTTTCTGATTTGCAAGAGTTGTTTGTATTTTAGGTATTAATGCCTTGCTGGGATTAGACATTGCAGGCATTTTTTTCTCTGAAATCTCTCTTCTATGGGGCAACTTTATCTGTTGTGAACTTTTTTTTTTTTTTTTGAGTTGGAGTCTCACTCTGTCGCCCAGACTGGAGTGCAGTGGCCGCTCCCGGCCACCACAGCCTCGACCTGCTGGGCTCCGGCGATCCTTCCGCCTCAGCCTTCCGAGTAGCCGGAATTACAGGCATGTGCTACCACGCCCGGCTGATTTTTTTATTTATTGTCGAGATGAGGTCTCACTGCCCAGGCAGGTCTCGAACCCGCGGGCTCAGGCAATCCACTCACCTCAACCCCCCAAAGCACGGGATGACAGGCTGAGCCACCGAGCCCAGCTTCTGACTTTATTTAGAACATTTTTGTCTATGTTCATAAGTGAAATTGGCCCGCAATTTCCCTTCACTTACTATCCTCGTCTGTTTTTTAATTTCAAAGCTATGAGGTGATCCTGGCTTCATAAAATGGGGTTTTCTCTACTGTCCAGAACAGTTTGTATCCTGCAAGGATTATCTTTCTTTGAAGGTTTGGCAGAAGGTAAGGCCATCTGGTCTGGTAATTTTTATGTGATTGTGAGTGGATGAGCCTGCTTTCAAAAAGAACTACAAATCCAATTTATTTAATGTTTTAGATGTATCAGGCATTTAATCTCTTCTTGAGTTAGAGTAGGTAATATTATTTGTCTAGAAAATGGTTTTGCTTTCTGGTTTCACATTTATCATCACAATACAGTATTCTCTCATATCCGCTTACAAATTTTGAAAACTCATTTCTGTCTGCCATTCTTTGTGACTTCACTAATTTTTTTTTTGAGCAATTGATTTGTTTGTTGAGAGCTATTTTAAAAAAATGATCTCCACTGTTTCTTTGTTTCCTTAATGTATGCTATTAGTTCTTCGACTTTTTTTGGATTTACCTTATGACTCTTTGTTTACAGCTTCTTGTGTTGAGTGCTTAGGTAATTCTTTTCAAACCTGCATCTTTTGCTAACAGGCATTGAGGGCTTAAAATGTACCACGAGCCAGGCGGGGTGACTCACACCTGTAATCCCAACACTTTGAGAGGCGGAGGCCAGAGGATTGCCTGAGCTCAGGAGTTTGAGACCAGGCTGGGCAACTTGGCGAGACCCCGTGTCTACAATACATCAAAAAATTAGCCGGGCGTGATGGTGGCACGTACCTGTGGTTCCAGCTACTTGGAAGGCTGAGGCGAAAGGACTGCCTGAACCCAACAGGTCGAGGCTGCGGTGGCCGTGAGTGTGCCACTGCCCTCCAGCCTGGGTGACAGAGTAAGACTCTGACTCAAAAAAAATGTACTATGAAGCATGTTTTATGAGTTGTGTGATATAGTGTTTTCATTGTTGTTCACGCCTAAATATGCTACAATCTTAAACTATTTTAAATATTAAAGTTAAAAAAATTTTTTTTGAGTGGAGTGCAGTGGCACCTCACGGCCACCACAGCCTTGAGCTCCTAGGCTCCGGCGATCCTCCCGCCTCAGCCTCCCGAGTTTCTGGGACTACAGGCACGTGTCACCATGCCCAGCTAATTTTTTGATTGATCGTAGAGACGAAGTCTCACCAAGTTGCCCAGGCTGGTCTCAAACCCCTGGACTCAGGCAGTCCTCTTATCTCTGCCTCCCAAAGTGCTAGGATGACAGGCGTGACCGTGCCCGGCTGTTCAGCAGTTTTTTGACCAATAGCAGCAGGACTCTCATGCCCCCACCCTCCCTAGTCACCTGATCTCCCCTTGAGTGACTTCTGTTTGTTTTCCCGGATGAAAAAAGCCCTCAAAGAGAGACACTTTGCCAACGTGGAAGAGGGGAAACCAAGAAGGGCAGAAGCGCTAAAAGGCTTCAAAATGGATGAGCTGAAAGACTATTTTGGGCAGTGAAAAAAGTCTTGATAGGAGTATTGCATCCAACGGTGAGGACTTTGAGGGTGACTGAAATTTAAACATGGAAGAATAGAGACAATCTTGTATAAATAAATTCTGGGGTTTCTTTGGTTCCTCCCTTGTATACCCATATCCATATATATACGAAGGGTGCCCCCAAAAGTATACACATTTTAAGAAAGGAAAAAACTGTGTTGCGGCCATAAAGAAGGACAAACATAAGGGCTTCGCAGCAACTCGGATGGATTTAGAGTCCGTCATACTCAGAGATCTATCACAGAAGCAAAGAGCAGAGTACCATATGTTGTTCTCGCTCACAAGCGGACCTTGAACAATTATCATACTATAAGAAAGGGATTGAGCCGGGCTCGGTGGCTTAGCCTGTAATCCTGGGCTTTGGGAGGCTGAGGTGAGTGGATTGCCTGAGTCCGCGGGTTCGAGACTGGCCCCGGCATCTTGGCGAGACCTCATCTCTACAATAAATCAAAACTCAGCAGGGCATGGTAGCACACGCCTGTAGTTCCGGCTACTCGGAAGGCTGAGGCGGAAGCATCATCGGAGCCCAGCAGGTCGAGGCTGCGGTGGCTGGGAGTGGCCACTGGACTCCAGTCTGGGCAACAGAGTGAGACTCCAACTCAAAAAAAAAAAAAAAGAAAGGGATTGACAGTCATGGGAAACTGCTAGGGGAGGTGGGAGGATTGACAGTTGAGGGAAACTGCTGGTGGGGGGACACACCTCATCAGCAAGGGTACCTGCATAATGAACATTTGCATACCTAGCCCTGAATTGTACCC